ATTAAGACATGCCGTTATCACTTTAACTGTTTTGTCCTTTTGGGGAAACAGATTTTTTTTTTTCAATTCAGTGAACAGGTTTCTATCACCACCAACTCTTGAATCTACATTCTATATCGGCGCACAGGTCGAATGTGAAATCTGGATTTCATTATGCATTGCTAGTCAGGTTAGTACAGGAAAAACTACCTGTGTAAAATGTCCAGTAGCTCGGCCGGGCTGGAGCATATGAGAAAGAATGTTCACCCCGGTCCTGTTCTGCAATTAGCAAATGTTGTGCTATGCGCACTGCAGTTTGATGGAGCTGTGTGCTGCATGGCTCCACCACACATGGCTCCACCACACATGGCCACCAATGGGTACTGTGATGAGTGCTCTTACTGGCAAGATAAATTTCAGATTGGTCATTCTAGGCTACACTCTTCGAAGTACGTGGTGATGAGGGGTAGCCCGGTTAACCTGATTATGTGGAGAAAGTGCTGCACACGACTGAACGTGAATCAGTTGCCCACATGTTCAAGGAAATGAAAACAAAAAAAAAATGCTCCACGTTATGTTGTGTGGTGATGTAACTTCTGAGTGGAGCCCAGCCATCCTCACCTTTGTAGCTTCCTATTGCAACGTTCCTTTCCTCAAGTTTTGTTATCACCCCTTTACACTACGTTCAGCGCAAACCGCAGCTACGATGATCGAGAAGCTTTGAGGCTCTAGAAGATCGTTTTGCCACCCACTTCGGGAACGTCACAGATTATTCAGGAACCTACGTCGCCGCTAGTGATAATGCTAGAATATTCGATGGCAAGGGTATAAATGCCGACACATTTCGCGGCTTGTCAGTTGATCGACGGAAGACGCTCTGTTCGCCGCTATCAGTGCCATTGTCTTACTTTCCTTTTGCATGGCCACAAGTTCGGCCCGAATAAACAGTTTCTTCTTCGGCGTGGAGTCTGCTTCCTTCGTTCACGTCACGACCCCGGGACATCTGGTAGAGGTGCTACTTTGTTCATGTATCGGACGCCCCCGTCAAGCCGTGAACCCAGTCCATGTCGCGAAGAAGACACCGACTCCAGTCAGGAGCAGCGAACAAGCCGCAGGCAGCAGCGTTTACTTCCGAAGCACGGGCCTCTACAAGACAAGGCTCGGAAGACCATGGCCATGACCTCGAACGCGTCAACGATGACGACTGCTGCGCCACAGCCTGCGATCGTGATGCAGCAGCTAAGGGAACCACTGATTTTTCATTGGTCATTATCAAGTCTCGAAGACCTGACTAGAGACTTACCACCGAGTGGCCGCCCCCAACCACTCGGATGCGGAAGAGAAGCTCCGTCGCATCTACTTTTACCTGGAAGATGCGGCAAGGACGTGGTTCGAGAATAGATAGTCTGCGCTTCGAATGTAGGATCTTTTCTGTGGCCCATTCCTGCAAACGTTCACGAGTGTCGCTCGCAAAGGAAAGGCTGCTGCGTTGCTGGAGACCCGAATTCAGCTGCCCAATGAAAATATCACCATTTTCACGGAAGAATTGAGCCGCCTCTTCTGCCTGCTGACCCCAACATGTCTGAGGAGAAGAAGGGTCCATCTGCTCATGCGAGGAGTCAAGCAAGAGCTCTTCACTGGGCTGATCAGGAACCTTCCAAAGATGGTCTAATTTATTTCGAAAGCATCTACGATGGAGAAGATGCTCGAGATACGGACACGGCAATACAACCGTAGCTTCTCGTCTACAAGCTACAGCGACGTCCAAGTGCTGTGAACCGCCGACTTGCGTGAGACGACCCGAGCGATCGTGCAAGAAGAGCTGCGAACATTGCTTCCTTCAGCGGAGCCTTGTGTGGACTCCATCGTGGACATCGTCCACCAAGAGATCCAGCAATCGCTGGGCGTTTCTCAGCCTCCAGAACCGCATTTGCAAGTAATGAGCTATGCTGTTGCAGTCCACCGTCACGCCCCTTTTCCACGCCCCTGCTAGGACGCCACCCCATCACATTTCCGTCGCCAGACGCCACGGCTGCCACCACCACCACCCACGTCCTACTGTTCGCCAGCAGGACAGCGCAGCGCACCGAGGAAAACCAATTTTTGGCGTGCACCTGACAATCGCCTGCTCTGTTACCACTGCGGCGAGGCTGGGCACACCTACCGTTGTTGCCAATACCGACAGATGAACCTACGGGGCTTCGACAATGCGCCGTGTCCACAACGTGGCGAACGACCACATGACATCGCCGACTATCTCGCGGAAGCGCACTCGATGTCCCGATGGCCTTATCGTTCACCGTTGCCAGGCTTCTACGCCTCACTGCATCGCAGGCAGCATACCGGCTCTGTCTGGGGCCAATCTCCGAGCTCTTATTCAGAAAACTAAGTGCAGAAACCGATGCAGGTGAGGTTGCTGTACAACGAACTACCGAAAATCCTCCGCCGCTGACGACGACAGCGCCGCCACGAAATCGAAAGCACCTATCACAAGACAAAAAGGGTCTTGACGTAGAACCTTCGCAGCCTGCAGAATATGTCAAGATGCAAGGTCGAAGCAGCGGAGCAAACAGACGTAGCCATGACCCGACGCCATGACTCAACCGCAACACACGACAACGAACCAGCAACCTCGACGTAATATTCAACAGCCGCCTTGTCACTGCTCTTGTTGATTCTGGAGCCGACTATTCTGTGGTCAGTGGGACTTTCGCGACAAAGTTAAAAAAAAAATGAGGACTACATGGCAAGGCCCCCGAAGTCTGCACCGTTGGAGGTCACTTAATAACGCCGACTGGAGTTATTAAGTGCAGCAGCAAGGATCACCATCACAGCACCACCACAGCAAGGATCACCATCAATAATCAGACTTATCCTGCGAGCTTTGTAATCTTACAAAATTGCTGCAGGGACGTGATACTTGGAATGAACTTTATAAGTCAATACGCCTCTATCATCGACCTAAGGTCTGGGTCAATCACACTAACCTCAGAAAACATGCTGCCGACACCTACAACGCCAAGCGATCCCGCAATTGCATGTGCTTGAAGATCAGGTCACCGTACTACCTTTCTCCAGCATCGTAGTTTCCATTGGCACCGACAAAGCCGAAAACTTTGAAGGCGTCGTCGAGGGCGATCAGCACCTTCTTCTGAACCGTCAGATTTGCGTCGCAAGCGGCATAGCTGAGCTGCGTGACGGCAAAGCAAAAGTGGTACTGACAAACTTCAGTCACAAATATAGGCACCTCAACCGGGGTACGGCGGTCGCCCACATCAACGAATTCGTGGAAGCCAGCAATTCATTCGCCCTCTTCGATGCTGCTGATGCTGCTTCGACGAATCGAGGTGCCGAAGCAGATTTCGATGTCAACCAGAGCCTTTCGAAGAGCAAGCAAGACCAGCTCAAGTCCCTGCTCTTGCAATTCAAGGGTTGCTTCTCATCATCATTGCGAATTCGACGAATCCCAGTCACGAATAATGGCATCATAACAGAAGAAAGTGCCCGACCAGTTCGACAAAGCCCACACCTATGATGTTCGAGAAGCTTCGAGGCTTTAGTAGATGGTTTTTTACGCCCACTTTAGAACGTCACACATTATTCGGGAACCTACGTCACCACTAGCGATAATGCTAGAATATTCGATGGTAACGGTATAAATGCCGACACGCTTCGCCGCTCGTCATTTGATCGACGGCCGACGCTCTGTTTGCCGCTATCAGTGCCAGTGTCTTACTCTCCTTTTGCGTAGCCACAAGTTTGGCCCGAATAAACAGTTTCTTCTTTCACGTGGAGTCTGCTTCCTTCGTTCACGTCACGACCCCATGACACTATGTACTTCCAGGGACAAAAGAAGAAGGCCATATAGAATTGCGATCACTGTCTATAACTCTACTTATAGTTGGAAGATTCAGAAAATGTTTGCAGCTGGAAATTTTTGAGGCAACATGATCCGATAATTAGGTCATTTTATGATTGCTAGGAAAAATACTTTGGGGCCCATTTAGAAAACATAAACATAATTATTAGCCTCAGAAATGAAGTTTATGTTTAAAGTATTATTGTTAAAAATGTTGCATGTGAATTTTTTAGCATGACATCTTCATTTTTTTAACCCTACTAACAGTACATTGAAAGTAATATTTAGATTTGACAAAATGCCATGAACCTGTACTAAAGAGCATAGTTTTCTGCCATTAATGACTGTTGTGTAATTTAAACAAGCTTGAGCTGCAATGACTTTAAAAGAAAATTTGTAAACTGAAAATTAGTTCTATTGCATTCATTTCACTGAGATATCCAAACTATTAATCATGGTTTCTTATGAGAATGCATTCTGGACTTTGTACTGAATGTTTAAGCTGGCTTGCTCTTTAACCTATTTGCTACAAAGTATTGCAATCATTATGGGGCAATCCGTACTATTATTATTTTTTTTTGTCATGTGCATCTGCTGTGTAAACTTCGATTACTGGATCTAATATACCGTGCCATACGACGATAAATACTTATAAGAGATGAAGAAATGGGCTTTATTTACAAAACTGATGCAGCACTTCTCAGCTATGACGTCGGAAGTTAGAGATAAAAGTTTTCTCTAAACATTTGGAATGTACTGTTGTTGATGTAGGTATTGTTTTCTTGGTCTCCAAGAGTCAGTGTCACCACCTTGTCGTGGCTCTTGTCGCTATCAAGGAAAATGTTGAAAATTTTGTTGTCCAACAGAGTGTAACTGCTACAACTTGTTGACATCTTTTCTGATTTAGGGGGTGTGTACAATCATTTTACGAATCTAAACTAAAAGTAAATAAATGTAACTGTCACTGTAGTGGATAAGTAGTGTCATATATTGATAAGTTGATAATAATATTGATTGCATCATTTATGAATAATCGTTTAAAAGTACCATTGTTCCCGCCCATAAGTTGCTGTCTTTTCTAGTATAAATAGGTCAAGCAGTGTCTAGTGAGGCGCACTTGTTTCGCTTGAAAATACATGATGAAATAAGCTTTCTGTTTAAGGTCCTGACAACGGAAGGACACTGCACTATAACGCTGTTTCATCCACAACGGTTTTTCGTGGAAACAGTGGGCTTTCTAATTGACGGTTTCTACAGTGCCACAAGCGAAGGTATGAACTTGGTGTTTTGACATGACTCTGAGGGATTTGGTGGTACTGGAAATCAAGTATCAAGTGTGAGATCTTGCTTTCATTTTTCATGATATGCAGCCGTGAAGAATAATTTTCTTATGGGCCTTTGCTACCAGCTCGCATATGTTCCTAATGCAGTGGTCAACGCATGCATTGATCAGGTAAGAAAAGCAAATTTCAAAATAGGCTAATGTAGAAGCTTTATTTTAAGGAATTCAGTGCTTTGAATACTCTACCCTTTCTGTGTCATCTTTTTTTATCTATTTATAGGGTTTAAAAGCCAAGGGGATCACTGAGGCTATATGAAACTGCTTTATGAATGGTTTTGGATTAATTTTGACAAGCGGGTTAATTTTACAGGCATTTACACCTAAGCACATTAGCGATCTTGCATCATCAAAGCTGGGCATCAAGCCCACAATCTGATTTCTGTAGCAGAACACTGTGGTTGCTAAGCAAAGGCTGTGCCCTTTTTTGTTCTTAGCCTGTGCTTGTGTACAGGGCTCTACAACATTAATCTTAAGAGGATTCAGTCATCTGGCTTATCTACCATAAGACGGTTGAAAATAAAATTTGTAGTGAAATCTTCTGAAGTCATTTAGTAACCAATCATAGCTATGCCACACTAACATTGTGGGGTGGCACAAAAAGCACAAATGCTATTGCAGTAAATTTTTTGTGTTATGCACCCCTGTCTGCCCCCCTTTTTCTGACACAATTAAGAAGAAAAAAAAGCTTTGAAAACAACATTGAAGTATTGATTTTGAAAGGTTACCATAAGTATGCTGTGGGAAGAATTAAGAATAATTAAATAGCAGCAGGCAATATCACTAAAAATAATAAAAGAGCAGCAGGTAGTGCCACTGTTCTAGCTCGGAGAAAATGTATTGGGGAAGAATGGGAAATACAGTGAAATGCCTTCATAAGTGACACTGATATAAGAGACAAATGGGTATAAGAGACACGAAGGTGCCTGCAGTAAAATACGGGTTGATAAAAAAAAATGTATAGGAGGTACCCTGCTTATAAGAGACATGTCATATAAAAGACAAGAATTGCTGCCCAGGCATGCCTTTTAGAAAAAGGTTTAACTGTACAAGTGTTACTTTTTGTGTCTTTATTATCATTTGATATTTTTTGTAAGTTCTGCAGAAATATGGTTATTAAAGGGCATTACACTTATGGATTTGTTTTTCATTGTTAGCTAAGGTATTGTAAAACACCTGCTCTTAAAGGGGCCCTGAAACACTTTTTTGAGTAACCATGGAATTAATTCCTTGGAAAAGCTTATTGCCTCGAAAATTCAACGGCGCAAAAATTTTAAGGGTCCGTCCAGTACGAGCGGAGTTACAAAGATTTGTCACACGCTGCAATCACGTTCTCTCTTTTCTCGTCCTGACAAAAGCACTGGAAGCTAAGCAGGGAGGGATGGCAGGGGCAAACAAAAAACGTTATGCGCGCCTCGTGACCTTGAGAACTTTTTTCTTTTTTTTATTCGAATACGCGCCTTTTTCAAAGCTGCCGTGCACGCACACATGGACAAGTGATGGCCTCCCTCTGCGATCTCTGTAACGGCCGAGCACGGCATGTTCAAATCAGCCCTGATGGATGGGCTTTCTACAAGTGATTTCTGTACATCTTTCGTCATTTGTCGAGGGAAGAGAAAGCAATGTTTAGCTTACTTTGATAATTTATTGTGAATACTAGGCCACGTGCTGCGCTATAATATTTGGCTTGCATTTTCTCGGGTGCCTCTACTTCCGATCGGCAGCATTTTCTGACCATTTCAAAGAGTGTTGCAGTGCCCCTTTAAGGGATCCTTGACAGTGAAAGCTTTGCTTGCGACTTTTTAAAGTAATTTGTAGCGTTGTGTCTAGTAATGTCGAAACTGAATTGTAAATGCTCTAACACATCATATAATTAATGCTAGCATTGTTAATTCAGTATGGTCTTGCACCAGTTCAAATTCAAACTACTCACCTAAATATCATAATAAATTAGTGCCCAAGGGTAGGGCAGCGCCTTAGGCTATGCCCTCAAGTTTTGGTGCCCCTGAATGAGCTGTTTTCGAGGAAGGAAACTGCAACGGGTGAATAATTAAACAATGTTCATGGCTTTGAGGAAAATAAACAGCATTCCTGGGATAAGCAGTTAAAACCACCTTGAGAGCAGCTCGACAACAGAGTGAGAGGGGTGACGAACGATAGTCCTCACCGAAAGGCAGTTCAGGTATTGTGCGCTCTCCGCAAAGGTTCTCTAATGTAAACAATAATCGCTTGATTTCTGCAGCGTCATGTGGGGGCCCCTGTATTCACCAAACCACAGGAAATGTTGATAAATTAAGGTATATTGTAAGCAGTGCTCATCACTAATATGTCAGAGGTGCCCTCGCATGCAGGACTCTCAAACAACACAATACAAGCATGTCGAGTTTCCAAATTTGGTCTCAAGGGCCTTTAACGTGAATTAAAATCTAGAAGAAAAAAAGTGTCATAGTAGTCTTTTTATTTCAGAATAACAGACGTGTCCTGCCGTTACCTTGGTACACTATGCTAAATATTCTAGCTTTAAAGGGCCACTTACTATGCCCCATAACAAATTTTAGTTGGACTGTGGAAAATGCTGTGTGTCCAGTGAGGAGTATGTTCCACAAAATTTTTTTCAATCGGTTCATTATGAGCTAAGAACGAGGACATACAAAGTGTGAAAAGTTGGTGTGCCTGCAAGAGTCAAAGCTGTGGACACAGTGCAATACAAGCACAGGGGAGGTTTTTACAATAATTTGATTGATATGTGGGGTTTAATGTCCTAAAACATACCATATGATTATGAGAGACGCTGTAGTGAAGGGGTCCGGAAATTTCGACCACCTGGGGTTCTTTAACGTGCGCCCAAATCTGAGCTTACGAGTCTACAAAATTTTCACCTCCATCGAAAATGCAGCCGCCGCAGCTGGGATTCGAAGAAAACAGCTTTTTTTTAAGAGGCCCGAAATGAGGATGAGAAGAGGTGAGCTCGAAACCTTTGCCACTCCCCTGTGTAGCCTCTGCTAGCCAGATCTCTTTCCTACCCTCTCCGGCATCCGACCAAAAGGTCACGTTCGTATGACATACCTGAACAAGCCCAACCCCTGAGCACACAAGTGGCGTTGTTTTGTTGACCAGTGTTATTTTGTGGTCTACTGCCTGTTTCTCCGGGATGGTTTGGAAACGCTGGCTTAGATGTGATAGAATATATGAGCAATATGAGTGCTCGAATGTGCAGGACCATTCATTTCTTTTCCAGGACAGGCGTCTACTTGATGCACTAACCGCGGGAACACGAACGCATGCAAAACGCAGGCACAACATCCCTGCATCTCGTTGTAATTCACGGGGAGGAAGGGGAGGGGGGAATCGAAAAGAGGCACACATTCCCTTGTTATGTCTCATTATTTATCTCAAGTTTTATTAATCTATTCAAGCAATAAATTACATAAACTACACATGTGTTAAATAATTTTTGCCATGTCACGTGTTACTGTTGTCAATGTCAGAGCATAGTCGTTTACGTAGAGGATCAACGTCACCGCAATGTCGTGTACGTCGGTTAATTCATACGTGTGCGTCATGCCCTCATTCTCCGGGCGTGCACCTGGGAAACGAAGGGAGAGCAGCGTTCGTCTTGAAATTTGACCCATTTTCGTGGCCCGTACTGTTGCAAATTTTGGCAGATGTGATCATGCCCCATGTACACATTACACTTGTCAGCTCAAAATCGTCAAACCTAGTCAGTGGCCCTTTAAGAGCCTTCTTTATGCACCAAATTTTCGTCATAGCTTGATGTCAAGGCAGATTCACATGATGAGTGGGGTGCTGTGATTGTTTTTAAAGGTAGTTCCAGAATATGAATAAGCCAGACAAACTTTACAAAAAAATTTATCCTGACAAGTAAAGGTAATCATAGGCTTTTCCTGTGCTGGAGCTTATGCAGTGGTCTCTAAACGAGAATTTTGGTATGAGTTAATACACTACTAAAAGCTCGTTAATTCGACACCTGTTAATTTAAGAAGTTAGTTAATGCGAACGTGTTCTCTGGTCCTGGAAAGCATATGTATTATTTAATGGCATTAAACTCTCGTTAATTCGGTCATACTTGGCCACAACGCAGTTTATTCAGATTACCCATGGATTGTGCTAAGCACTTAACTCCATAAATTTTCTATGCAAAGAAGCGAAAACAGCGTTCGCAAACATCTGAAATGGCCACGGGCTTTCAGAAAGGTGGGGTCATCATCTATAATATTAGCCCATTCGCATTGTTGGCGGCCAAGGCTGCAGCAGCTGCAGCAAACTTCTAAATGGGAAGCATTTCTTTGTGTACTGCAGGCACTCTTAGCATGCCTATCTACTTATCTATCTAGCCGCCTACGCCTGGCTGCTCTCGTGATTACCCCCTTAATTTGGAGTCAATGAAATTAATGTGGCAGAGTATGATAGTTTGATGAACATGACTCGCTGATGAACATGACTCGCTGGTGAATACTGTGACAATCTCGTTGCGTACGTGTTCGAACCCTTTCCTCCGGACACCTGTGGCACATACGCCCTTTACCATGGGATTGAAGACATTGGTAATTTGAATGCGATTGTATTAACGAATACTGACATCAGCAGCTTTCACCCAACAAATGCAAATAATAAATATTAAGGTCCCAGCAGGAATTGAGCCCAAGCATTCTGCGGGGCAATCAAATATTCTATCACAGAGCCACACCAGGTCTCGGAACTGCTTTGGAAAAAGACCTCATGCAAGCGTCATGTTGGCAAAACGTCAATTCTGGTTGCAGTACTGGCTGTCTAGTTATATAAACGTGGCATATATACTCCTATGATAACAGGTGTCACGTCGTATTAGTATCATCCACTGCAGTTGATTTATGTAGCAGAGTCCAGAGCTACCATCCTCGAGAGCTAAAGTGCTACATTTCAGCTTATCGCTTCTGGTGTTGCTTATACCCATGTTGGTATTGACATCGTTGCGCAACTGCAAACAACTGGTTATATAAAACATATGCGACTGTTCAGCATATGTCTATGGTAAAACATTTGTACATATCTTTGGCGTCATTTTGTAATGTTTAATTCAATAAAAAGTTACAGAACAGTCATTTTTTCTTCACATGTTTGCATAACATCGATTCCAAAAGTGCTTCCCCATATCTGCCGATTTTTTTTTTTAATATGCTTGGTGCTCATGAAGTGCATGGGTGCTATTTGTGATCACGTCGATAGCAAGTGGGCTCAAAACTGCAACAAGCTGGAGTTTCATTTTCGCCATGTGCCTTTAAAACCACGTAGCCATCATCCGTGATTGTGCATTAGTGAGTCACGTTTATTTAGCAGCAGATGCAGTGCTCAGAAGCTTAGTTTCTACTTTAAACGTAGGCCATGTGCATGCCTTTCGAACTGCATGGATGCTATGATTTTGTCTATAGCAACCACGGTCTAAATTATCTGTTTTAACTTCGGGCAGTGTGTTCATAATGTCACAAAGTTCAAATGTGATGGAAGCTGTTGAAGATGAAGACGTACGGCTGTGGTCCATGGGGTGGCATAAAACTTACTTGCTACATTTTTATGAATGAGCAGTCTGCTCGTGGTCATTTGTGCTGTGGAAAAAATTGTCAATTGTGTCTGGTCATTTTGGTAGTGACGCTTCATAATGAGGGATGGGTTCAGAGCATGTTCAGGCTTAGGACACACACGTCTTGAGCCGCGGGTCACATTGTAAATGAAGTCATGAATGGCAAAAACTGTGGCTTAACTAAAGCAAGTACTGGATTTACATAATAATGAAAATAAATATGCATCAATGCAATAGACACTTGTTCATTTTTCTCTTGATACTTTCACTAATGGCAATTGTTTAATTTGGACATGTTTTCTTGTCTCATCAAATCTGAATTAACAAGCTTTTGCTGTATTTTTACATTGTCATGTTTAAAATGCATGCAGGTGCCTGCACACTACTTTGCGAGTCCGGAGTGCTAGTCAATGTTAGGCTGTCAATAATGCAACTTGTTATCATGCCTTAGGCCCTGCAGTTGCTTCGTTCACACAAGTATTTAGTATGGCCATGCCTTTCTATTGTAGAGGCTCTTCTTTTTTCTGTATCCAGAGCATCTAGCTGCTGCAGAATGAGTGCATAATGAAATGCCATATATGTATGAACATCAGTTCCTTTCAAACAGTGTAGTTAAATACTACAAAGCATTGCACAAGGAATTGCTTTCACATGCATACTTTTCATTGCATTTTATTTGCACAGATCCTACCAATCTTGGTAACTGCCCTGAGCAGTGAAGAGGGATCCATAATACATGAGTGTGTGCTCCCCTGCCTTACGGAAAATGTAGGGCTGATGGCTTCCTGTCTTGGCTCAGTGTTGCCACAGCTGCTGCAGCTGGCAAAGTCATCATTTTCAATGGTGGGCACAGTTGTAGCCTATTACAGTTGCATGTTTGTTGTACAGAACTAGCAGGCTTTTAGCAAGTTGAGGTGCTTCTGAAGGGGGCACACTGGTCTTTGGGACCAAAAAGTGACAAAAAATTAAATTTTCAAAACTGACATATTTAGTTCCTGCAAGTATTTTTCTATCTGCAAATTTTCACACACCAGAAAGTGGTAATTTTTTTGTAATGTCATTCGAACTGTCCAGATTCTTGGTGCTGTTAACATACAGAACCTGCAAAAAACGGGGAAGTGACTTCGAGGCTTCTTCATAATTTGCCAACACCTGTGTTAGAAGCTCTGCTACAAATTTATGAGCACCTTGAAAATTGCAAAACATGCGCACCATGATAGTTGCTTTTTGAAAAAGCTGTGTGTTATCAGTTTTTTTCTATTTTCTAAAAAGTAAGTTTACGACTGTTGAATTTGGAGGCCTCAATATCTCTGCAGCTATGGCAGGTACAAAAATAATTCTTCTTGCAATGGAAACCTGTATGCATGTAGAATACAAGTATGGAAGCAGAATTTAGAGCACAAGCCTTTTAATTATTTACTCCTCAAAATTGTAACACAATTCCAACTGCTTTTGTATATGGATAGTTCATTTTGCTGTAAAATAACCAAGAAAGGCCTAAAAACAAGAAAAGAACTCTTGCATACTTTCAATCTATACACATTAGTCTATGTTGGCGTATCTTAAATATCACTTTTTATTAAGCACTTTTTTTCTATAGTGGCCTTAAACAATAGGGGGTAAACTTCAGTTATCCTAGGAAAAGATGAGTTACAGGGAAACTAATAAATATTTGAAATCAGCAGAAAAAAACTGTATAATCCTGCGCAGTTCGATCAATATCACTGAAGAAATAAACAAAAAAATGTTTAAGACCAGTCTGCCCCCTGAACTAAGCAAGCAAAAGTACCACATTGCTATTTGCAGTGTCAGAACAGCAAGCAAATATTTTATGTGCCTACATAGTACTCACTGGTATCATGTTAGTGTGTATCGACAATGTTTCAGGACGGGTATTTTAAAGGAGCACTGACATCAAATTTACTCATGTCAAGATTTTTGCATCAACGAGCAGCTATCGACCTCCTAGTAGCGATTCGCGACCTAAAACGCATCTGAGGGACGAATGAGTAGTATCTGTAATATTGATTAACATATTTGCTATTAAACGCTGTTCAAAATGGGTGGAAAGCCCGCCAAATTTCAGTGCTGGCAGCGCCACCTCGCCGCCACATCGAGGCCGCTGCACAGATGATGCCGCTTTCACAGAAAATGGTGACGTCACAGTGGCGATTCATCTGCTTGGTGCACACGTACAGTCAGTCCAGCTTTGTTTCTGAGGGCGTAGACATGCCTATGTTGCTAACATCGTCGTCCTCGCCGTCGTCGCGGTCAGCATCAGCAAGTGATGATGACAGCGACTTGGAATTGGGTATCGCCGTGATTCGCGACGATCCTTGCTTGACAAGCTCCGTGTTAAATGCAATGTATTTATCAGTCCCGGCCTTACTGTCGAAGCTCAGGAACACCAACTACGTACCTCATGTCGCGGGCGTTTGGCGAGTGAATCGCTGCTTGCAGCTGCAGCAGGGCACACGGTAGAAATAGCTCCGACCTCGAGAAGAGGCCTCGTACTGCCAGTGAAACCTAACTGGTTCGCCAACACAGGATTTACTCTGTAGCAGCTTGCCGCAAAGTGAAGGGAGCAAATGTGGCTGTTTTTCAGAGGCGTCCAGTCCCTCTGTCCAACGGAGCGTACGAAGTCAACCCACTGGCTCCGTTGAGGTTCGTGGCTTGGAAAGGCATAAAACACCATGCACTTTCTGCTTTTCCTATGCCTCGACCTGCAGGTTCCCTCTACACAGCAGTTCCCCGACATTCTGGCACGTATTGTCGCTCTGAATGATCGTACTCACATGCAGTGAAGCACAATGCAAATTATCGATGCGACACGATGAATCGCATGCATGCTTCAATACAGCAAGGAGAGTTACTAGTGAGAACATGGCTGAGAGTTGGCTCCAAACACACTCAGATATCGCCGACGTCATCATTACTAGCGTATCGTCACTACAAATGGTATTTGTGGATTGCATCACACCGAACACGTAGCACTAGTGTCGATGTCGCAGAGCAGTCTATTTTTCGTTTTTTCTCCTTAGTTTTTCTTCGCTGTTTGACGTCGAAATAAAATAAGTTTGATGCAACGGACGCCCTTCAAATTTGACCAGGAAGACCTACGCATACCAAGTTATCGAATGACAGGCAAATCTCTATCTTGAAAGTTGATGTCAGTGCTCCTTTAAGCAGCTGACCAGAAGAGACAGTGTTCATCGGCACTTATAAATTTGCTGCTAGTGTTTAGCACAGGACCTGAGATTGAAGGTGTAAAAACATACCTAGTACCTGCATTGTTTACAGGAAGTCCGCCGGTCCGCTCTGGAATGCTTGCTCAGACTGTCCAGCATCGAGGAAGACAAGCTGCTGCCCCACCAAGAGAAGGTGGTGACAAGCCTGACGCAGTGCTTGGCAGATCGCAAACGAATTGTTCGTGAAGTGGCAGCTCAGGCATCTTCCATGTGGTAAGTGAAAGATACTGTTTGATTTATGAACCATGCATTAAATATTTGCCAATTTTTATGAAAATTTATCAGTGAAACCATTTTGTGTATTTTAAAAAATTGTGCCTTGTCTTTTACAGCACAAATAATAAACCACAAAGTTAGCCTTTTTAAGGAGAGATGCTCATTTCAGATATTCCTGTTTTTATTTCTCTGTCAGTTAATGTAACTACTCATTTATAAAGCTTTCTTTGCTGATTATTAATTACTTCACCTGTAAGTTGCTATGTTTTTGAGATAGCTAAACTATAGCACCGAGAATGCGGGCCATCAAAATGATATTACAAATAAATTGCTGCTCACTAGAGCATGAAAATTTGCAGATTGATAGAAGAACACTTGCAAAAGCCAACAATGCCATTAAAAAAAATTATGCTTTTTGCCATTTTTCGGTCCCAAGGACTTTATTTGGAAATCTAGCTTGCCATGCAAACCTTTTTTCAAGCTATCCCGCAGGTCGCGGGATTGAATTTCGGCTGCGGCAGCTAAACTTTGGTTAGAGGCGAAAATGCTGTAGGCCCGTGTGCTCAGATTTGGGTGCTCGTTAAGGAACACCGGGTGGTGGAAGTTTATGGAGTCTTCCACTACGGCGTCTCTCACGACCATATAGTTTTGGGACGTTAAACCCCACATAACAATCAATCTTTTTTCAAGCTATGCCAAGTCATGCCCCTCAAAATAGTAATTATAGACATCTGCTAACTCAGTAGGTTTCTGCTTGAATGTTTTTGATGGGATGGTCTTAACTTTTCTTGGAGAGTAAGACTACATCAGCCTCAGCGAAAAAGATTTAATATAGGAATAGTTTCAAGACATTTATAATGAAATAATGGCATTTAATGTCTGAACAAGTAGGAGTCAGGGTGTCTACCAACTGGGAAAACCAGGAAAGGTCTTAGAATTTGAACCATTGTGGAAAAGTCAGATAATTTCCGATAAACCTGGCCAGGTCATGGAAACTGACTGCAGTCTGTGGGTCCGTCACAAAAATAAGCATTGCAATTGATCAAAGCTTAAAGGGTCGCTCCTTTAAGTGACTACGGTGAACTGCTAGAAGAAAAAAAAGGCAGTGCACAACTGTCACTTAGTGCAAACGTGAAAGATACACCAACCAAAAGAACACAGAGTTTACTGACATTTCAGCACCTCAAGCAAGAGCCTTGTTCACAATAAAATCTATAAGAAAGGTGCAGCGTATTTAAAGGGACATTAAATAGCAAAACTGTTTTTCACGTATTAATTAAGTTCAATGTCACAATCCCTGAACACCATTCTTATCGCGACACTATGTTTGGTAAGAAAGAAAGAAATAAATTCGGGGGAAGACGTCACCTTCAGATTCCCATACCAAACACCACAACGTCATAAATTTTGAAGCTGGCTACTGGGTGCTACACAACTTCTACTCGATGAAAATAAAGTACATTGTCATCTGTAGGTGCCACAGATCTAGCATACGAAGTTCCTGAAAATTTCCTCAAGTTTATGTAACAAAAATACAAAAAATGCATTTTGAAATATTTATACACATACGAAAATTTTAGCGCAAAACTTAAATAATTTTCTCTCTATGATAGTAAAAAAAAATTAAAGGCATTAAAGTTCTCAGAGTGCGGTTTTTCAATCTAAACCAATACACTGTTTCTCTTTAGTGTCCCTTTAAGTATGCCTAAGTACACAACATAAGCCCCGAGAGCACACTGTCGGAACTCCTGTTCATCATATGGGCAGTTGTCTGTATGTGCAGTGATTCCAGGTGTAGGCATGATCCTGACTATTTTTTTTTTTTTTTTGCCAGTACATGTGAGTTTGACCAGTCAATTCGATGGCTTGTAGATTCCACATGTTCAGCAAGGGCATTCGAGGTCACGCGTCGTTTCGTGACATCATGTTCAGGTTATTTAACTCTTCTTGAAATCGCCGGTTTCGCCATTGTACAGGTTGTCACAATTGTGAGAGCCTATGGCATGAACAAGACCGGATAAATTTCCACTCGACAACTTGTCTTTCACGTTGACTACTATCTCAATTCTTAGCTTCTCATATTGGTACATGAACTATTTAGATGTCTGTTGCATCACACAGCATATCTGACCATAGTCCTTCAATACTTTTACTGGTTATGAAGCTTCACCGAAACTCTTTGGGAGAGCTTTGTGCGCTGCGAGCGAAGGGCTACTGGATAGTGCTGAATCACCGTGTGGGGTATTGGGCAGACCGGAGGGAAGCTGGCTGCTTGTGCCGCTACGGGGTCAATGCATAATATCGTGGCGTGTCATCGCGTAGTTTTTCTCCGTATGATTGCTATTGTGCCTAGTGTGCTGGGCCTGAAGATCGTGAAGGATACCACATACCTGCTGGCTACCTAGTTGTTGATCCAGTTACAAAAGAAATGACGAAAAAGTCTCCGAGTTCTTGCTGCCTATGGTGATCAGTCGGAAAAGTGTAAGCGCGCAATGCCATGACAAGAAACTTGTGGTTTCACATTTGTTTCCCGGAATGTGCACGTGTGCAAAAAGCATTTCGATGAGAGTGACATCGTTTGCGTGGACCAGTGGCTAATCGGAAGTGTTGTTGTGAAGTCACCGCGCGACGTTCCGAAACTTTTTCAGACGCTGTGCCGAGGATTTTCTACGGCCTCACGGCGTATTTGTATTGTGCAAAAAGATGCAGAGCTCGCTCGCCTACAAGCATTGACGGGAACCGTCAGTGAGCTGGGTACTGTTGAGGCTGCAATGGTCTGTGCATGAGCCCTCTCGACATTGCGGCAATCGATTATTACGGATTTAGTGAAGGTGAGCATATTGACTACCTCTTTTTCGTTCCATGCGAGTAGGTAATACGGAAGCCTGATGAGTGAAATGCTCACCGTTTTCGTTTATACAGGCACTAAGATGACCAAAAGAGTAGAGGTTATATGCCGTATAGGCGGAGCTACATGCAGCTTCTCACAGCTTGAAAAAAGTCAAAGCACACATTCGTTGCATGCAACAGAGATTTGAGCGCTACCTATAGAAGCTTGCTAACATGATGGCGCAAGAGAGGTTGCACCAAAATGCTGTACAAAGCGTGCGCAAGCTGTAAATGCGTGAGAAGTTAATTTTCTGTATCAGTGCATCGTGAACACAAGAAGATAACTTTTGCGTCTCATTTTGATGCCTCTGGTGCCGGACGCAGTCAGTCAATTTTCACATTCTAGGAGGCATGTAAGGCTTTCACCTTTGCAGTAAAAACGATGAAGAAGGACAGGGAAAACATAGCGTGAGTAAGGTACACAGCAGAGTAAAGAACTGAGAAACTATACATGCATGGCCTACTGAACTTAGAACGTGCTACGGCCAAAATAAAACATGAAAAGGAGGCAAACATCATATAAAGTATTGTTTTATCCTCATCACTTGCTAAATTAAAAGCACTGATCCATTCAAAGTGGCCATTGGTTTATTAAGGGGGCAGACTGGTCTTAGACATTTTTTGTTTATTTCTTCAGTGATCTTGATAAAACTGCACAGGGTTATGCAGTTTTTTCTGCTGATTTCAAATATTTAATTAGATTTCCTGTAACTCACTTTGTTCCTGAGATAACTTAAGTTCACCCCCTATTGTTTAAGGCCACCATAGAAAAAAAGTGCTTAATTAAAAGTGATATTTAGGATATGCCAACATAGACTAGTGACTATAGAGTGAAAGTATGGAAGAGGTTCTTGTTTTTAGGCCTTTATTGGTTATTTTGCAGCAAAATGAACTATACATTTTCAAAAGCAGTTGGAATTGTGTTACAATTTTGAAAAGTAAATAATTAAAAGGCATGTGCTTTAAATTCTGCTCCCATACTTGCATTCTACACACATACAGGTTTCCACTGCAAAGAGAATTATTGTTCTACCTGCCCTAGCTGCAGAGATATTGAGGCTTCAAAATTGAATAGTCACAAATTTACTTTTTTGAGAAAAATGGAAAAAACTGAAAACACAGTTTCTTCAAAAAGCAACAATCATGGTGCGCATGTTTTGCAATCCTCATGAAGGCGTTCATAAATTGGTAGTAGAGCTTTAGACAAAGGGGCTGGCAAAATATAAAGAAGCCTTTAAGTCGATTCCCCATTTTTTTGCAGGTTCTGAATGTTAACAACACCAAGAATCCGAACAGTTAAAATGACATTACAAAAAATTACTACTTTCTGGTGCGTGAAAATTTGCAGAGAGATAGAAAAATACTTGCTGAAACCAAATATGTCAATTTTAAAAAATGAATTTTTTTGTCACTTTTTGGTCCCAAAGTCTGCCCCCTTAAGTACAAGGCAATTTTAAGATATATCAAACTCGCAAGTTATCCCCTTGAAATTTCTTTGTAGAAGTATAGAAATTTGCACGTTTCTCTCGAACGGTATTTTTACCCGCCTTCAGATATATCAAACACGGCGCGAGCTGGGAGGTGCACTTCAGCACTCTCTGCGCCATGCGATCATCGCGGTAGCGCGGCTCTGCACACGAGTTGGAAGTACGCTTTGGTACTCGCAGCGTCCAGCGACCTCTGCGCGGCTCCACGCCTCTGTCCAAGCACGAAACGCTCCAAGAAAGATAAGGGCTGGAGGGCTCGGACTGCATGATCTTCAACTTGTAGAACGGCTTTTTTTTTTGCATTTCTTTTTCTCTCATACTTTCTTCGCGCACCTGTCGGCTCGGGAAGCAGGAATGAAGGAGTTGATGACTTCCTCCCTTCGTCTTTTTTTCTTTATTTATCTTTGTTTTTGTTTTCCGAGTTTTGATCAGGCAACCACAGCTCACGCCTTTTGCTGTTGCCCTTGCCGGTAAAGATTGCATTGCGAGCGCTTTGTGGGCGGAGTCCGCTTCCGTTGTCGTGTGTTTTATATACCAACGCATGTGCAGCATTCTTTTACGTGCATGGTGTGCAAAGACGCTACCGACTCCTTGAACTGTTGACTTCTCGTGTAGCTATGG